TTCTAAGAAAATGTTTTCTACTGCTCAAAATAAAGCATTTACAGCTAAAACTTTTAAAATGAGAAATGTTTGGTTTTCTGCCTTTATATAATTCATAGGGAGTTTTAGATATCATGGCCCTTATTGAAACTCTGTTTAGAATATAGGCCACTATATTGACAGCTTTTGCCTAAGAATACTTTAGTAAATTATTTTCACAAAGCATGGTTTAAGCCATTTCTTTTGAAGTTCAATTTTTTCTCTCAACAACCTCATTTTGTTGAGGTGTTCTAGATGCAAAAAAGTTGTGATTCAACCCTTTTTCATTACAAAAGTTTTCAAATCATCTCTTTTAAACTCACCTCCATGATCACTTTTGATGCTAACAATGAGAAGTCTTTTTTTTATTCTGAACTCTCTTACAATGATTTGCACATGCAAGTGGTGCATCATTTTTGTGAGCAAAGAAGTAGACCCAAATATATCTACAATAGTCATCAACTATCACAAAACCATATAATTTACCTTCTAAGCTAGATATGTTGATTGAACTAAATAAATCAATATGCAACAATTCAAGAGGTATAGAAGTTAAAATAATCTTTTTGGCTTTGAAAGATGTTCTAACTTGTCCTAATTGGCAAGGATCACAAATCTGATCATTCTCAAATTTAAGTTCAGGTAATCCCATAACCAGATTTCTTCTCATTAGTTTTGAAATGGTATACATGCTTACATGTCCAAGTCTTCGATGCCATAACCAGCTATCATTTTCATCATTTACCATAAGACATGTCTCACCGTTTAGCTTAAAATCTTTAAGAAATATAACATACATATTTTTTATTCTTTTTCCTATGAATGAAAGTTTGTTGGTACTAATATCTATAACTTAACTTTTATATGAATCAAAACATACCTTAAAACCTTTATCACACAATTGACTGATCCTTAATTGATTATGCATTAAGCCTATAACAAATAGCACATGATTAATTTGAACATGAGAATTTTTACCTATAGTTCTTATTCCATGAATTCTACCTTTTGAATCATCTCCAAATGATACTGTGCCTCATTTTTTTCTTATCCAGTTAAGCAAACAGCATTTCATTTTTAGTCATATACCTTGAGTAGCCATTATCCATGTACCATGGTTGCTTCTACTTTAGTTGAGCTTGTGAACATATGTCTTCTCGGTTTGGATTAACCTACAAGATAAATTTTTAGTTTTTCTTAACAAGTACCCATACTTTAATGGGTCCTTGAAGGTTAGTTGCTACATAAGAGCCTTTAGTACCCAAATCATTTTTGTTCTTTGAGTGCTCTTTTTTCTATAACAATCATAAGAAAGATAACTTTTTTTACCACAAACATAATATCTAGATGAGAAACCATCAGAATTTCTCTTAAAGTTTGTATTTCTTCTTGATGTTTCTTTTCTTAAATCCTTAAGAGCAATGTTTTCATCAATTTCCTTTTGCAATGCTTTAGTTCTGTTTTCAAGTTCCAATTTCAGAACTTCAAAATTTGTTTTAAAGTGTTCTAGTTCAGTTTGAAGAAAATTTCTTTGTTCAAAAATAAAGTTGAAATCACGCCTTATCTTTTCTAAATCATTTTTAAGAGATGTAGTCTTTCTTTTTAAAGCCTTATATTTTGATACAAGCTTTTTAAACTCATCACAAAGACATTCATATTCTTCTTCAAATTTATCAATTGAAATATCACAAAGAGCAGAAGATACCTCAGATTCATCATCTTTGGCCATCAGACATAGGTTTGCTTTTTCTTCCACTTTCTCTTCTTTAACTTCTGAACTTGAAACATCACTATCAAACTAGGTTACAACCACAATAGCTTCTTTGATTTTCTATTTTTCTTGGGAATTTCCTCCTTTAGCAAGGGGTATTCTGATTTGAAGTTTTCAAGTTTCTTGCACTCAAAACTTATAACATCTTCCTTCTTATCAAACTCATTTTTATTTTTAGTTTTCCATGA